CCAAAGTTGAAAACAGATCGGGACTAACCATCACGAAGTGTGCTTTCCTCTTACCTGTCCCCACCCACCCCGGTCATGCAGCATCCACCCAGAGGAGCCTTGGCCCAGCCAGGCCCAGGCCCAGGGGGCCTCTTGGGAGACAGAACAATCCTGGGCCATACACACAAAGGGCTTGTTTGGCCGTCACTAGCTTTCCTCTGGAGACGTGGGTTCTGCAGTGGTCCTGCCCTGTGGCTGCTCAAGATTGAAACAGGGCTGCCTGCCTTCGTTCACGTCTGCTTCAGGGCCCCTGGGCAGTATTCGTGTATTCTTACTGTCCGCTTCACTCTCTAGCATGTCCAAATGCAGTTCAAGAACGCAGCAATAGAAACTTATTTTCAAAGGCCAGTGTTTTGCTTAAAAAAGGAATTTGAATCTATTGCTTTGAAACATTCTTTACCTTCTGTGCACTGTTGGTAACGACTCTAGAAGTGTTACTTGAGCGTTTGTGTCTTGGCCATTTGTCCCATCAACGACCGTATTCTGAATGGCTTTTATGTGTGGTATGGAGGCCATGTGACAGATGGCCTCTAGGGGGAATGGTCCTGGAGATTTTTCACTTCAAAAGGAACAGAGTTACTTTCAGTCTCCCTAAGGATCCCCAAGGAAGGAGGAAAAAGGCTCAGGCTGAGGAGCAGAAAAGGGCCTGGAGGTGGTAGGAGCATCAACACACACCACTCGGTTTAGTTCCCAGGCTTGTGAGAAGTGCAGAATATGTGAAGAGGCTGAAGAAACTGCTGCTCAAAATGGTACAATGAACCAAGGTCATGGTGAGTGGTGGAGCAGGTTTCAGAGCTTGCCCCTCTGCTTTCCGGGCCCTGCAAGAGAGCTAAACTCCACTAGCTGAATGACCTTGAGCAAGCCATCAAAACTCTCTAGGCCTTGATTAAAAGCCTCCTTCCAGTTGGGCTCTGAATCAGCATTTCGGTGAGGGCATCAGCCTTGGCAGGCCCTAATAAGGCCTTGACTCTTTGTTCTCCATGGCCTTGGAAACAGATGGAAAGAAAACTGTCTCAGGCAGCAGGAACCAGTCTTATCCTCTAGGTCGATGCCCATTTGTCAAAAACTTGGCAAAGGTTGCATTCATGTTAGTGAACCCTCAACATAGCTTCATTCATTGTTTGACATACAAAATTTATGACATCTGTTGGAGGAATGTAGCTCTGAACACTCTCAACGTCAAAAAGTATATATAATGGAAGGAACACTTCTTGCACTGCCTGACATTTCTAATTTTTTCCCAAACCCCTGTCTCCAGTTCAGGAAATGATGGCTCCCTGAGCACCCCAGAGCTTTTTGTTTTGATTGGAGAATTCAGATTTTTTTTTTCTTCTGTATGTAGATTTGACTGCAGATTTTAAAACAAAATTACATCTACAAATAGTGTTGACAAGTTGGAAAAAGTGGTTAACATACACTCAAATATTTGTTCAAGTAAAAAGACTTTTTTTTTTTCCCTGGAGAAAAAAAAATCAGGCCAAAAATATGACACTCTGGAGAATACATACCAGCATACACAAAAACTAGATTTTCTTTCTGCTAATGACCTCTCCAGGAGCAATAAGGAGGGGAATTGTTCTCCTCAATGCCAGTCTCAAAAAGTTAAGAATGTATCCAGAAAGTGCTTCTCTTTTTTTCCTCAGCAACAGATTATGGAACTCTCATTATAAATTTAAACATTCTGGGGAGATGCTGATTTCTTACTTGTACCCTTTTTCTCTGTGGAGAGCCACAGTGTTTTACCCTGAACACGGCAACTTCTCCAGCTGCTCACTCTGAAATCCGGGCCTGCTAATGGAATTTAGGGTATGAATCTTGAACTATTTCTCTGTACTTCATGGTTTTCTAAATGGTGACTATCAGCTTCCAGCCTCGGTGCTCCCATTTGGAAGAGCCCTTATCTTCCTCCTGACCTGGCAGGGGCAGCATGTTCAGAGATTATCACATTGGAACAGACCCAAGGTGTGTGCCATGTGGAGACAGGGTGTTCCCTCCTGCCTATCAGAAAGATCAGGCAAGAATTCTTGGAATTGGCCTGATGCTTCATTAATTCATGATTTCACTGGGCCTCTGGAGCCCAGGGAGGAAGTTAGGCGGAAACCACTCACGAGTGGTCACGGCAGCCCCGAAGTTGATTCCACCTACATCTTCCCTGTCTTCTCCCCCGACCGTGTTTGCCGCCTCATCTGTTTCTAGCTACGTCCAGCAGTGGCTTTTCTTCTGCTGCACAACATCTGAAACATGTGAGACGATCCGCGCGGGCCTGAAACCCGACGCCCGACCCCACTCCCCGGGAGCCATGGGACTGAGTAGTTCCGCGGACTGAGCCTTGGTCTCCGTGTTAATGAAACGGGGACTGACGGGAAGCTGAGAGAACCCCTGTGAGGCACTTCTGACCGGTTCTGGCATATGGTCTCTGAGAACAGTATTCCTAAGCATCGTCACGGGGGGCGAGGTGCTGGCCCAGCTCCACCTCGTCAGGTGGTGGAGGCTTGGTGAAGGCCCTCCGCAGTGGTCTCTGGAGCACACATAGCCTGAGGACAGAGGCAGTTGATGCTTATCAAGCAGGTCCCAGGGGCTGTGCTTTATGACACGGGTGATACATTCCAGTCCCGTGGTAATACCCTGGGAGCTAGGTGCTCCTCTCATCCCCATTTCATAGATGAAGAATCTCAGATTGCGGGACTTGACCGGCTAGGCAGCTAGTGAAGGTGAAGCCAGACCTGGCTCCCAAAGTCAAAGGGTGCTGGGTTCAGGGCTTCTGTGACTACAATGAGGCAGAGAGGCATTCTTGGTCTAGCTGAGGACAGGCAGCGGGGAGCCTAGGGGTGCTGAAGACAAGGGGGACCCAGAGCGTTTCTTTGCCTCGAGAAAGGGGACCGTTTTTCAGAAGTGGGAACCCGCAAGCCTGGCCTCCAGGCTTCTTTTGGGGTTCTTTGCCTTACACGCCCTTCCTTTCTGTGGAGAGAAAAATGCCTGATCAGAGGGCTTGGAAGAATAGCTACAGATATATTTAATCCTTTTTAGTGAAAACATTATCTGTCATCCAAATGAGTTTTCGTTTATTCCCAGTCTACCGCATTCGCTTTTCAAGAGAACATCCTTTTCCGCCCTGCAGCCCAAGTTTGGCCAACTAATTTTGTTTGTAATCTCCTTTTGTTTGTTTCAAGTCTTCAAGAGTGACCGGTGGTATTTTCAGTTTCCAAGTCGGAGAGAATGAAGTGTGGGAATTCAGAACTCAGCAGGAGTGCAAAAGCAGAAAATCACAGAGACCCTACAGAGCAATACTTTTAAGGAGAGTCACGAGGCTGGGGGACGAGAGCTCGCTTGGTGCATTCACTCACCATCTGACATGTGTGGGCTAAAGACTTAGCTAAGACTTGAGGGAGGATCCCCCAAACAGTACAACCCCTGCAAAAACCTTTATGTGTGTGCAGACAGGTGCCTGTAACATGGAGAAAGCCTTTTGGAAAGGGTCTTTCCTGCTGGGTTGTAACTGTAACAGACCTAAGGGATGCTGCCTGGAGTGCTGGGGGGAGGATGACACACAAAACCCAGCTTCCCCCGATCTCTGGGATACTGTTTTAAGAAACCATTCATGAGGGAAGGTAGGTCAACCATACCATCTGAAGTTCACAAAGTAAAAAGGTACAAATGACAGGACCACCAAATTTAGAAAATGTCCTACAATGTGCATTTTATTCCATACCATTATACAATGTTTACATATAGTTATAAATCTTAAGAAAATGTTTTTTCTTTACCAATTGTACGTAGTGCCTAAATCTTTAACATGGAGAAATGGAGAGTGGAAATCCACATCGAATGCTATCCTACAAGTTGTAATGAGCCACAACTGTGCCAACGAGAAGGAGATAGAAGTCTTACAAGAGCAGCGTGCCTTACAAACCCTTGGCTTTAGTGAATTCAGGCATACAGGACCCACAGTCTCATCTCGTAGTAAAACTCAAGACAAAATAAATTAGTGTTGGACAGAATTCTAAATTGTACAATATTGAACGAAAGACCACAGTGGGACTTTTTGTTTAAAGTAGCACCAATCCACACCTGATTGTGTTTTCAACATTAATCTGCCTATTGAATACATCGTTGGCACTTTGAGTGGAAATCTTTCTGCTTTAGTGAGGATTCCTGGACTGGCTGAGTACACTGGGTTGCAAAACTCTCTATGAAGTGTGGCAATGGCAACCTGGGAAATGGCACATTTAAGTCATTACGGCCCTGCCACGGGCTCGCGCGCACGCGCGCTTGTGTGTGTGTGTGTGTGTGTGTGTTCCCCATCCCCTGACCTAGCTGGTATTTCGTGGCTGTTTTCTGTGACAGTGTAAAAGTAAATAAAAATGCGTTTAAGGGGTTTCATGGTAAGCATGGTGTTTCCAAACAAAACAAAACAAAATAAAACAACACAACAACATGAAAGAATGTGGTCGCAGCTAAGGAGGTTTTCACATGTTGTTTAACTCCAGTAAAGTCTGATCCAGCATCTGATGCATACTAAGGTTTTCTTCTTTGGCATGAGCCACTTTCTCTGTGGTGGGATTAGAAAATTAAGTCATGAATAGCTGCACTTTGGACACAGTGGCGGTTTTTACATTTAGGCAGGCAAACATCAGTCACAAACAAAGATGAGATGATTAGGACAAGGCATGCTGGTAAGGTATTACTCATTGCCAGACAAGGACCCACAAAGGGGGAAGATGTCTTTAACCCAAAGGAACTAAGGCACAGCGGGCTCGCACAGAGCGGTCAGCTGAACCTTCACCAAGGGTCCACTCAGAATAAAGCGCAGGTGGGGCTTGGCGGAGGTCCACGGGCCGTACGCCGTGGGGACAGGGACGGGTACTTGCAGCACTGCAGTTAATACAGCAGACATTTCTGAGTTACAGGCAGGTAAAGGTCTGGGAGCTGTGTTGTAACACAATCTCACAGGAGACAAAAATGAAGTAAGTAGGTTTTCTGACAACTTTTAAAACGATTTATTTCTGCTGCTCATTAAAAAAAATGAGTATCAACATATTTCATGCACACTTCAGTAGGACATTCTCTTACTATTCTTATAGTGTTCTATTTATTATTAGAATGACATTCTCACCAGGTTCCAACAACACCATTAGACGGAATAAAAGCATACCTTTCAGACAATCAGGGACTTCTGACATGAGCTCCTGTTTTCAAAAGCTATTTTGCCCAAGCATAGGTACATTTAATCAAACACTATACCAGATATTACGAAGTTAGGAATATGAATATGTAATAGCTATATGTGTATATATATATTATATATTGCATCCTATATATAATATATATATGTGTATAGTTACTCCTCTGCTTTGGCTTTCTAACTTAAAGCAGGACTCAGTTCTCTGTAGGAAATAGAAAACAATTTTTGGTCCTCATTATGTATCAGTTCAAACACGAGGACCTGCGATTGAATTGTTATATTTAATTCATATACATATATGTAATTTTACCACAAAAGCAGTTTCGGGGTTTAAAGAGAACTTAATTATTCCAGATATAAGAAGAAAACACAGGTGAAGCCAGCTTTTTAGCTAATTCCTTCCATGTACAATTCTGCAGAAAGCAAGTGTTGTCAGCCCTATTAGTTGAAGGTACGGCAGTCTTAGATTTCCTGCCCATGGCCTCCATTCCTAGAATTCAGCCCAAGGTCTTTCCCACTTAAGTTTAATCCTCATTCAGGGCCAGCTTTAGTTGGTTAGTTAGGCGGCGGTTTTGCTCAAGTTGCTGGTAGAGTTGATCTGGACAGGTCAGCAAGCAGGTTAGCAGAAGAGAGGAGGCAGAAGGAAGAGAGGTTAGCCAGATTTGGTAAAGGAGTTAACAGACAGCACACAGAGATACCTCGGGTCACCTGCTGAGCAGCTCACCCTTCCCCGGTGGTCAGCTGTCCCTCTCCCAGGAAGGGTGGGCGGTAAAGGCCTGGCAGACTTAGGAAGAGCCAGGATTTTTCTCTCAGTGGCCGGGAAGGGAAAGGGAGTGACAGGGGCAAGGGGGAGGGAGGGAGGGAGGGAGGGAGGGGGAGAGAGAGAGAGAGAGAGAGAGAGAGAGAGAGAGAGAGAGAGAGGGAGAGATGTTCCTCTTGTACCTTACTAAAACCACTGTGTGAATGAGCCACATGCAGTTTCTGGCAACAGCCCGAGTGTCATAGTGGAGAACTTAACAGTGAAACCTCAACCTGCCCATTTTGCCCACCTCTTCCCAGAACCCCTTTCATCTGCACTCTCGGGGCTGGCTTTCCTTTCAGGAAGTACCGAGAGGGGGCCCCCAGTGGCTGCTGCATTTACAGTCCTTGAAACACAGAACTAAGCTCCCTGTCCCTCCCCCAGTCACCACCATACAGGGTGCTACTCTACTCATACAGCAAAACCAACAAGCACTCATCTCCACACGAAACCGACTTAAAATTCATTTGCTTACTTCTTGAAGAGAATGGCATTCATGCACGGCGCGAGATTGAGGTGTAGAGAGTGAACAAAATCTCAAACACCCACAGGGAGAGCAGTGCAATGTCAACTTTACACAAGGGCATACAATCTGCTCACATGGCAGGGAGGCCAACCACAGGTGTCAGGCTGTATCTGATGGCCCAGGGGATGCCGCCAAAATGACAAGAACCTGGCACTTACCATGAGAAGGAGGATATACAACTGGTTCGAATGACAGTGACAACCTGGACCCAGAAATTCTACTTACTGATCTTGAAAAGCTGACAATCCTACCCCTGGGGAGAATGCAACCATCCAGCCTCCGGCCCCCAGGTGTGTCAGGAAATTAATCAAGTCTTATTTCAGCTTCCTCTCTTAAGTGGTAGGAGATGGGGGGAAGATGCCATATGCACTAGACTTTCTGCTTGAAGTATCTGCTACCTTGTCCTTTTTGCTCATCCACATTCTCTGGATATTCAAAACCCTAGTCAAATGTCACCTTCTCCATGTAGCTCCAAGTGTACACCATCTATGAGTTCAGACATGCTTCACTCCTCTACCTTCCAGCAAGGCCAGCTCATCAGGGGCAAAGAACACTTCCGGCTCATCTCTTCACATCTCCACTGCCTTCCACAGTGTCTTGTGTAAGGGATGTGGCTCTGGGGTTGCAAAGCTAAACCCCACCGGCACATTCACATTACCACATGTGGGGTGATCGCCATGGGCGGGCAGGATGTCTCAGTTTGCCAAGTCCATGTCCAGCCAAACTGGAATGAAAGAACTTTAGGGAAACCCTGGAGAACCCAGAGTCGATGTGAACTCAGCTGAAATGACAGATGTTCCTACCACACCCCCCTTTGGACCTGCTCCCCTGCAGCTGCCATGGAGCTGGTCTGCCCAGGTGGCCTGAGGGCAGGGACCAGAAACAGTTACACATTTGGAAGGGTCTTCCCTTCCTGTCCTACCTCCCAGACATCTGGAACCTCTAGGGCCCAGACTCAGCAGTGCTTTCTGTTTGATCCTACCAGGTTCTTGCAGTAGCAACAGCTATGGTCTGGCCTTCTGAAATAGACACCTGGGCCCTGACAATTTCTGGATGGAATCAAGTCGCTATTGATCCTCTTGTGAACCCACACCTTCTGGGGCTAGTCTAGATTTGCCTTCCTAAACCATTAGTTTCCCATTTCCCCTTGTAGAATGTTCTTACGTAGAAAGTGTGAAAGTCTCTACAAGGGTTTCCAAAAAAGAAAAAAAAAAAGTGCCTCTAGAATTAACTCCTCATTTTGTCTATAGCAGGAAACAGGGTCACTCAGAGAAGGGCCCACTTCTATCACTAGGAGTTTAAAAAAAAAAAAAAAAAAAGAGAGGACAGGAATCATAGTCAAAAGCAGACCCAATGAGGCTTAGGGAAAAAAAAAAATCCATGAAATTACAGAAGTCTACACTCCCAAGGGAGAGACACTGACTCCAGATTCTAAATTTTAGAGAGCCTACTATAACACTATTAAAATAATTTGTGGTCCTCTTAAAAAGAGTATTTTTCTTCTGCTCTGAAGTCTTTGTAGAGTGAATGACATTATTTTCAGTTTGTCTAAATTTATTTGACTATAGTGGTATATATCAACCCTCTCAGACTAACAAAAACAGATGAAAATCACCCACATTTAAAGCACAGGAGAAATATAGCCAGACTGTTGAGGATGCAGGAATGCTGGGAATTAAGAAACAAAAAGTCCACATCATTTTAAAGTTCTAATTTTGCAATTTGTTTCTCTTTGAAAATCACTTAGCTGTTTTTGAAGTGAACCAGTAAAGCCTAAATAAAATATAACTCTATTCTGAACAATTTCTACTAAATTTGCTTTTAGGAAAAAAAAAAAAAAAGAATCAACTCCAATGGCTATCTTTAAAAATGCCTACAAATGAAGGATATCACAAAGATTATGTACATACAAACCCTCCTAAAAAAATACGTGATGTCCTTAAGGGCACAAAAATGAACCTTGACTTAAATGTTATCATATTTAGAAAACTAAGGGGCGCCTTGGTGGCTTAGTGAGTTAAGCGTCTGCCTTCGGCTTAGGTCATGATCCTGGGATTAAGCCCTGAGTCGGGCTCCCTGCAGAGCAAGGAGCCTGCTTCTCTCTCTGTCCCTCCCCACAGCTCATGTTCTTGCTCTCTCTCAAATAAATAAAATCTTTAAAAAAAAAAAAAAAACTTAAGATGTCATTGCATGATCAAAATGAAGGTGGCTGAGTAATGAATATACTTTTAAAAAGCTTTAATGGTTCTTTAGGCTGTAAAAGGATGATCAACAATAACCTTAACTACCACTGTCAGGACACAAGTAATTTTTCGAGATCCTGGTATGTGAATTCCTGGCAGTGTGGGCCGCTAGTTAGTCATGTCCCTGCAAGCAGGGCCACCTCAGCATCCACACAGGGGGCTCACCACATCCCACACCAAACCTCTGCCAGAGGAAGACAGTATTCAAGGCACATCTTCTCACTCCAGCAAGCAATGTCCTCTGTGCGGACGTTCTCAACGAGGACTACATACCAGAACCATCACCCTCTCAAAAACACAAACCACTCTCCCCCCGCCCCCGGAGATGCCCAGGCCTCATTCTAACCTTGGCAAACCAAAACTCTTGAGAGGGACCCACGCATGAGTATTTTTTAAAAGTTCCGTAAGGAACTACTGCTTTAGAAACTTTTAATATTAATGTTCAGCATGGGGGGGGGGAGCAGCCAAAAACTAACCCTCGTATGTGTGAAATAGATTTGTAGTTTTATTCAGTGTTGAAACAAAAAAATGTCAATAAATAAGTAAAAAGAAGAGCAAACAGAAACAGCTTGCACAGTGTTTATTTGACACTGAAATGAAGAGCTTCTGTACAATGGAAAGCAGTGTGCCTGGCCCTGAGGCAGGAGGCTAAAGGAACGAGCCAGGTCAGCTGGAGAAGAGACAAACTGCAGAGCTCAGAGAGGTGGGACAGCCAGCTTGATGAAGGGGTCTCGGGAGAAGTGAAGCAAAGAAACTTATCTGCATGAGGAGAAAAGGTGGGAGAAAAAGAAAACAAAGTGGCACAATGGAAAAAAGGAAAACCAAACTAACAGAGGAGAGCAGCACCTGACACACAGATGAGAAGCAGACATGCAAAACCCGCTGCCAGCTGCACCTGCAGGAGGATGCCCATCCTCACCCACCAGCGTCGGGACCCAAGGCCAGCACACACCCCTCCAGGCGAGGGGCCATTACCAAGAAGACCCAAGAACAGAGTTTAAAAACAGACTTTAAGCTAACCCACCTTTCAGAATAGTTAATCGTACACAATGTTACAAGTTTTCCCTATAGAATCACCACATTTTAGCACTGGAAAAGACTTTAGAGACAGAGGTTCTGATTCACTCCCACATTTACAAACGAGGGAAGGGAGCACGGAATTCTCTTTACTTTCCATGGGGATAGTCAATACATCTTATGGTGATGTGGAGATTCTAGAACCTGTGAGGTGGCAAGGACAGGCCACACCCTTCAGGCTACCATTTCCCTGCATAGGTGGGTCTGGAAATTTCCAGCTTACATGGAATTCAGTGCCATATTATTAGAATGAAGGGAACCCTCTGTGGAAAGCTCCAGGTTAGAATTTAAAGAGGCAGAGAAGTGTGATGCTTAGGTTTAGTTAGCAATATGCGGATTAGTTGTGTATGCTCAAAGCTCTCATGAAAACAAGGGATCTACTCCAACTCTCACTGCCTCATGCAGTTAAAAGTGGGCATTAACTCCCGAACTCATACTGGGCAATCAGGGTTTTATTTCCCAATTCTTTGACACCAGTTGTGGCGTTCGTTGTGAGTATTTCAATTCCTTTTATCTAAACACAAAAAATTAAAGGCTCTGGTATTCAGCAGATGAACCATTTCTCTCCAGAATTCTTAAAAGTGAGGAAGAAATGATCTCTCACAGCACCATTTCTTAGGCTGTACCGGATCAATTTCCTCTCAGATCATCAATAACTGGACTTAAGGAACTTTAGGGTTCCTTAAATTTATAGATCTTTTACAAAAATGATCATACTGTATTTAACTGAATCTCAGGATACCCATTTTTTGGATATTTCTGGGGAAGTTTGTGCACGATGGCATGGCCTCCAATTTTACTTGAGCCTAGTTTGATTTCCTAAAAGGGTAGCTCTCGAGTCCTTCATATTTCAGTTCACTGCTTGGTGGGAACAATCTAGCTCAGAGATTGTGAAAGAAACAGATTCTGAAAGGAAAATGATTTGTACAGATAGACTTAATCTGCTTGGCTTTTGTATTAGTAGAATGTGAACAAAACCAAACTACCCTAGGTGATGCAAAGAGAGTAAACAGAAAGGTGTGAAGATGGAGCTTCTGGAAGTACAGAAGGGGGCAGTGGTGAGTTTATCGTATTAGCATGAGGGCACGGATGTGAGCAGGCAGGGTGGATGAACATTTACATGGAAGTCATATCGTTGAGAGCGTGGTCCAGCTCCTCGCTGATGGCTTTGTACTTCAGTTTCTGAGCGTACAGCTCGTCTATGACCAGGAAGTGGAAGGCAGAGGTGCAAGGGCATGGAGAGTGATCAAGAGATGGAGGGTGAGCGGGGGTGGCGCAGACGCCATCCCGACACAGCAGCAAGAAAGGGGCAGTGCATGAAGGAAGTGGTATCGCAGCAGTTGGCCAATGCAGGAGGCGTGCGTTTTGTTTTTAAACGAATTGAAACAAAAACAAAAAGAACAAAAGCCATTAGAAAATAAAACAAGAAAGACCCAAAATGAAAATCATCACAAGTATGGTTGGTATAGCAGTAACCCATGTTAAACCCTAAATGAAACCACAGAAGGCCGTCAGCCGGGTAGGTGACAGCACACCTCTCCTGTCTATAGCTCCATTTCCACGGCGCTGGAGCAGTCAGCCACCCGCGACTACGAACAGTGGGGAAAATATCCACGGGCAGTGCTTTGGAAGAACAATTTTTGTCTCTCGTCTGTCATCCTGATCTGGCTCCGCCTTCCACCCCCTGACTTCCTGACCAAACTGGACTCCTGGGATGTCGGTTTCTGAGTGCCCTGTGAGTTGCTCCTGGGGGCGGGGGGGGGAGGTCTTCTTGCTAAGCTACCCTGCTCCTGGCCTGGGGGGCCTGAGAAGTGAGGGGAGCCATTCGTTTAGGGTGGTGCTGTGCCAAGTCTCCAGTTTAGTCTCTGTAACGAGGAGGGTTTCATTCTTTGCTGCACTCTGGCGGATTGTTTTGCAACCATCTGTCACCCTCTCTTCCCCACCAGCTTGGTTATCATCAGCACCAACGTCCGGTGCCTTCGCCAGCCCCTTCTGCCTTTCTCGTCCATTTTAAATATTTCCCTGTATTCTTTTTCATAGCTGACCCTCCACACGCCTCAGAGTTCAACATTTAGGATTTCTGTGAGACAAAGGTGGGTGTTACTAAAACAAAACCTACATACCTTAGGGGAGAAAGGCTTAAATATAATCTCAAACAACAATGTCCTATTAGCCCCACACCCCTTTCAGAATGTGGAGCATTTGCCAAGATATGAAGGACTTAAACCCAACCTTTATATTGGATTCTTACTTGGAAGATGAGTTGTGTCTAAAAACAAATCCATGCCACTCTGACAATTAGGAAGTATCACTGAGCAGAAAATACGCTAGTCGCTCTCACCTACAACCGCCTCACCCACAATGACAAGTAAACCTGCCACACTTCTCAGAGTGTGAAGTCAAGCTGGATGGCATCTGCCGTCACAGAGAGACGGGCCTCGTCTGGTGGCTAGCAGTCATCTGGTGAGCAGAGGACTCAGGTCCAAGAGTTTAAGAGCCACAGAATGAAAACCCCAAAGGGCAGACAGGAAGAATGTGCAAGAGCAAAGAAGTGTATCAAGGAGGATGCATTTGGATTGGAAAACCGCTTTGCAAGGTCAGTAGTCAACCATAAGAACTAAATAAAAAATAAAACTTAAGATCTTACCTTCTAAGTCATCAATGCTTTTCTCCAACTTAGTTACTGACCTCTCCGCAAATTCAGCCCGAGTCTCGGCCTGTAAGGATGCCATTTATTTCAGTCAGAATTGGGAAGTTTTACATCGCTAGTAGCTACAAATACAGGGAGAACTAGAGAATGAAAGTCAAGCACAGCACCCACGAAATGGGTCTGGAATGGCCTGTCAGTCCGTCACTAGCATAGCACATTAACTCCAGGACCACCTCTGAATATTCCTGACTGGGCTCACCATACTTTTGAGATGAAGAAGCCCCGACCAGCTCCATAAAAACGGGACTCAGTTAAAATCCAGTTGGCTTCATCTAAAACACTCATAATATTACCTCCTTCAGCTTGTCAGATAGGACCTTGATCTCTTCCTCATATTTGTCTTCCTTCTGCGAGTACTGTAATCAGAAAGAGCATTCCAGATGTCAGGCTACAGCTCCCTCTATACTCAGGTCTTCAAATACAAAGAAAGTGCCAGCCCAGCCAACAGATGTTGAGGATCTCTTAGGAGGTAATGGAGCCTCTGATATCAAATGGCACACTACAATACATTCTCTGTTTTCTTGCCTATTGTTTTACATGGGATAAGAACAAGATAACTCAGCCAGGTGGCGCTTGGTTTAAATTAAATTGTTGCAGACAGACTCACATACTCAACATAAAATATGTTCTCAATTCAAAGAAAAAAAAGGAATGTTATCCAATAACCATCAGGAAATCACCTCACAATGATGCCATTTGCTAAATAAAATGCCTAAGGGACTCTTGCCTTCATCGGCGGGGCCTCAGACGAGAAAGAGTGCATGCCTTTTGAGCAGCTCTTATGAGACGCCTTTCCCCCACACCGTGCTCCTGGCCTACCTTCTCAGCCTGAGCCTCCAGTGACTTCAAGTTGTTCGTCACAGTTTTCAATTCTTCTTCAAGCTCGGCACATTTGCTAACGTTTTCGATCAGAGGCAGAAAGGGTGGGAGACAAGCCCAAGGAAGGAGGAGAGAAAAAGGAGAGGGATGGGAAAAAGTGAGAACTGAGTCCTAGAGAACAAAGGGCTGCCTTAAAGTAGCCAAATCGTCAGGTATTAAAATGCTCCATTTTGTCAAGGACACTGTCCCCGACCTTGCAAGAGCACCAAGGCAGGGTGACAAAATCCAACAATTCTGAAGTGTGATAATTTGGCTTCTTTTTTTGGCTGCACCAAAGAGCATTTATGAAGGAAAAACAAAGGAGTATAAAGGACCCAAAGAAAGCATTTAAAGCAAGACAGAAGACAGCAGAGGGTGTCGTTATACCAAACGAACCAGTAGACATTGGAAGCTGAAAGACGTCTGGGTTGCAGTTAAACCTAAAACCACACGAGCCATCAGTACCTTATCCTCTGCAGCCATTAATGCTTTCAAGGTCTGATCCATTATTCTTAATTGTTCTTCCAGCTGTCGAACTTGGCTGTTAGTGGACACAGGAAATGCACAAGGCCATTCTCAAAATCAGTGTGCAGGGAAGGCATGCAGTGATACACGCATTCATACAGACACCCCACACAAGTCCTCCGTGTTTCATACTCGCAGCTCATCCACGGCAGATGAGCGCAGAAGGAGCCCGGAGCTGAAACAGGTAAATGTGCAGCTGCCAGAAGGTCATGCTGTTTAGTCACTGCTCTGGAGCACCCCACACACAGGACACCGGCACCGGGCCCACCTACCTTTCCGAGAGCTCAGCCCGCTCCTCCGCGCGTTCCAGGTCACTCTCGATGATGACCAGCTTACGGGCCACCTGCAGCACAACAAACACAACACACACACACCATGGGGCTGGCAAGCGTTAAGTAAGGGGACAGGGCATGGAGGCGGGTACTGGATCCATTAGACGTTCTTACAGACAAATAAGATGGCCCTTTTTCTCGTGGGCTGGAGAGAAGCCACTCTCTACCAGGAGGGCCAATGGAGAGTAGGCCAGAGGCTTCTGCTCACAAAGACGAATAGTTGGTTATGAGTAGGCAGTCTCATTTTAGGTCTGACCCAGGTGAAGTCCATATAATTACACAGCAGCCAGTCAAAGTGTGGAAGGAGGGAGAGCTATAAAATTCACAATCTCAAAAATAGCAGCATGATGAGACATGCTGCGTTGGATGCTGTAAAGGTAGGGGCTGCCAAAAAACACTGAAAGTACTCCTGAGAACTCTATCAATTTAGAGCTCTGTACCTCAACCTCCTCTTTGTGGAGGAGGTTAAAAATGACAACAGAACAGCAACAAAAGCTAACATGGGATGAGCTGGTAAGATGACTAATGAAGTCAACTCGGTATTCAGTGGAGGAAAGAACCCGGGAGAAGAGGTCCTCTGGGGCGCCTGGGTGGCTCAGATGGTTAAGCGTCTGCCTTCGGCTCAGGTCATGATCCCAGGGTCCTGGGATCGGGTCCCGCATCGGGCTCTCTGCTTCTTGGGAGCCTGCTTCTCCCTCTGCCTCTCTCTCTCTGTCTCTCATGAATAAATAAATAAAAATCTTTAAAAAAAAAAAAAAAAAAAAAAAAAAAAAAAAAAAAGAAGAGGTCCTCTGAAGCATTTCAAGGAGGGTAACCTGGAAGTAGTAGTAGTAGTAGTAGTAGTAGTAATAATAATAATAATAATAATGGTGGTCATAATAATAATAATAATAATGCGATGGAAAAAAGTAGTGTCAACACCATTTCAAGAGAGCCATGATACATTAAGGGAAAACTGAAACAAGTCGTATTAGCTTTGTTATCATAGCAGGTCGTTCTCATGGGGCATGACCAGAAGCTGATTCACTGGTGAACCTCTCTTGACAGTGGGATTGAAAAGAGAGGACAGACTGAAAAGGGCCTCTTGAATCTACATGGCCTTTGGTGCATGGACTGTGTCTCTGTGCTGCGTGAACGGGATGGTGCTAGGCGAATCACACCAGGAAGAGTGGCCTGCATGGTGACAATACGAGAGGCTCTTTCCACAAGGGACAAGAGGCCCAACTCTCCCTTCTCCTGGCCAAAGGTCTTTTGTCCTGGTCTGGGGGTGGCAAAGGCAGGGGATCATGGGGGAAGCTTCAGTCCTTCTCAGTGCTATGGACTGGCTTCATGATAAAGCCTGGGATCCCTTAGCAGGATCAAATCAGAACTGCTTTCTAGAGACAGAGGAACTCTGCCTTCTCAAAACCACCCATTTCCACCAATAAAGCAGATCGTTTCACTAAAGAACACAAGGCTGTAAGCATTGCTCCCTGGCCCCCACCGAGGCCACTGCCGTGGAGTCCATGAGGCTTTGGGCCCCAAGATCTGACCTCTTCATACTTGCGGTCGGCATCTTCAGCAATGTGCTTGGCCTCTTTCAGTTGGATCTCCTGAATTTCCATTTTTTCCTCATCTTTTTGGGCTCGACTTTCAATGACTTTCATGCCTCTGAAAAGGAAGACAAGCAGGAAGACCCAAGGTTTAGAGGAGATCAGCATAAACCCACACTGCACTGGTTTGTGAGGCTTGGTATAACTGGCAGACCCAAATAGAGCACAGAGCTGTTTTTACTTTCCAGCCCATGAAGCAAGAGTTTCCAGAGCTGAAGACAGAAAAAACCACATGCTTCTCTGTTTATTGTGAATGAAACCTCACTTTTGATACTGGTGAAACGGTCTAGGGATCTAATGTTAAATGAAAGATACCATGTCAGGATCCTGTTTGAAACTGGGAGGCATGGGAACAGGAAAAGCAACATACTTTACTTGCTATATAAATAATGGGGTTTCTTCCTTTTCCTGGTGGGAGGCTTCAGCGTGAAAATGGACCAAAGTTATAACAAAAACAAATCTGTCTTCATGTACTTCTTCCTACAAAGAAGGTAGCTATTCTTACCCCATTAGCTACAAATGTAAATATCAGATTGAACCATATGAAATTGCTGATACTTGATACATCAGACCTGTAAAAATGGCAATTTCATATGGGTCAACCTAATACTTTAGATAAGAAACTATGAATTTTGCCTTTAATAGAATTCTTTCATAATAGAGGTGTTGAGAAACGGACTGATACCAATGTCCATGCTGGTATGTACATTTGGATCCCACGGTGTTAAGTTTTGGAAAATGTTAATTGTTCTGTGATATATTACAGTTTTATGGATTAAGTCATGTTAAAATGGGATTTATTTAGCAAAATCTAAGCAGACAGTTCAGATAAATAAACCACTATTTTTTTTTTTTTTTTTTTTTTTAATTCATGAGAGACAGAGCGAGAGAGAAAGGCAGAGGGAGAAACAGGCTCCCAAGGAGCAGGGAGCCCGATGCGGGACTCGATCCCAGGACCCTGAGATCATGACCTGAGCCGAAGGCAGACGCTTAACCATCTGAGCCACCCAGGTGCCCTAAACCACTATTTTTTGATGAAGTGCTACGGTATATATTAGAAGACTGAGATTCGAGTCTTGGCTTGGCTGTCAATTCGCTCTGAGACTTTGGGCAGGCCTCATCACCTGCTAAGCCCTTGTTTTCTCATTTGTAAAATGAGGGGCCTGGGGTAAACGACCTCTAAATTCCTTTTTACTACCAAGTCTAACATTGCCAGATTGCCTTTTAGGTTCACTAACAAGTATATTTCAGGAAGAATCAGCCACAAAACCACTGGTATGTGTGTACTGTAAGAGATGATGAGTCATCCTAAGGAATTCCAAAACTCTTGGTTAGGGAAGAAACAATAAGCAACAGTGAATAATGAGCTGGAAACTTCAGCTTAAAAGCTTCTTGAATCTTCAAGTCTGAAATCACTCTTTATCCCTGGTGGCAGGGAGCAGAAACTCACTTCTATCCAAGAGGGAGAAATGGAAAGAGGGATTGACTCCATTCACCTGCCCAGGTCACAGCACGGATCTGCACTCCCAGCGTTCTGAGCCGCCACACTACTCTCTCAACCCTCCAGCAGGAGAACTCTCTCTAGTTTCGTGGAGTTGTTCTTGGAATGCTTCTGTGCAATACGAATACATGAGCCTTAGCGGCTGAGCACACCAGAAAATGCCTTCTAGAACGCATGGAGTTGTGCTGGGCTATATGGCCATGGTTTTCCTTTACTACCACAAAGCTGAATCTTGGAGACATCAGTCAGGTAAGAGCCAGGTTACAGGGAGCGGGCTCAGAATACGCAAGTATCCGACTGTACTGACATGTGCATGAGTGTCTTATTAGTGTTACTAAGTCCAAAACAATTACTTTAGCAGATCGTATTTCTGTTTTATCTGTGCTTCCTCTTCCACTTATTTTTTGGGTTATTTGACAACTGATAGGCCCAGTCTCCTCTGCATATTTTAAAATAAAGTTTATCTTTTAAAAAATGCCTAACTGCTCTGTGGTCAGCAGGAATGAAGGAACCAATAGGCATCCTTAGACTATCTCATTTAAATGTCCCTCTCCTTCGCTGGACGGTGAGCTCTATGAGGGCAGGAATAGGATCTTTCTCTTCTTTGTAATCTTGGGGTTTAAAATAGTGCTTGGCACACAAGTGTCCCACTCACGTTAAATGAACAAACCTAGCAAAGTTATACCTGGGACTGACTGAGGAAATGATCCCACCAAGGGACTCTAAAACTCTTAAGCCCCAAAGATCAGGGAAGCCCCCCTGTCGCACCCGGAGGAGAGGCTGGTGCGGAAAGGTGGGCTGGGAGACGTGCACTCACCTCTCGCTCTCGTCCGCGGCCTTCTCAGCCTCCTCCAGCTTCTGCAAAGCTGTTGCTAGTCGCTCTTGGGCACGATCCAACTCTTCCTCAACCAGCTGGATGCGTCTGTTCAGAGAAGCTACATCGGCTTCAGCCTAGGCAGAGAGAGTGAAAGGTACTTCAGACCAGGAGAGAAAGCGAGGGCAGTGCCTTCAGGAAGTGGCGGAGCCTGAAACACCAATTTCAGACAGGAAGCCTGGCCCTGTGGGGAGCTACCTCCAGGCTCACCACAAGCCCCGGTCCACTGGAGTTCTTGGAGGTGCGGCTCCGTTGATTTGGTACAGTGAATGCACACACTTGTGTGTTTACAAGTCTACACGCACCATTTTCAGCGGCCAGAGGGATTGTGAGCAAGTGCTCTCTCGCTAGGTTCCTTTCTTCCACAGAACTCCACACTGGCCCTACCTGACTGCCCAAGGAGCACTTCAGGACGGCCACCTCACTCAGTGGGGCGCGAGGGCTGGACAGAGGTGAGACTTACCCAGGCTCGGCCGCACAAGACAAGAGCAGGACAGCCAGAAACCAGACTCAGGGGTCTGCATTCTCCTTTCTCCTGGCCACTTGCTCAAAGGAGTCTTATAAAGGAACTAAAATGTTTAAAAATTCAGCTGTTCCAAGATATACACCATAGACACGCAACGAAATCCAGTAACCGCCCCTCTCCCACCCTCTTCTCAGTGACCCCTGCAGAACTTGGTCATGCTGGAGCAGGGCCAAGACAAATTTCCCATGTGTTTTTGAGATAAGCTTACTGGCATTTCTTACAAGGTTGCTACAAGAAAAGTTTCAAACTCCGTAGAGAAAGCAGTATAGAGACTATTTTTATTGGTATCTGTATCTGAATTAAGAGGTTTCTTTTTTGGGGATGCGATGATTACCTACTATTACAAGCACTTGCTACTATGAGCCTCAGAACACTTGTAAGACTGTGATGGTCCCTCATACATACTGCATTAGGGTCTGTTTAGATACTATGCATGGAAGTCAGCTAGCACTTACTAATCAGGTACCATTTCCTCATCCGCATCCACTTTGAATATGTGCTTATCATGGGGTGATAAGGTTTTCAGGACACTTGAGAATTTTCTAAAAATTACAATACATACATACTTAAGCACCCATGTGATTTCTATCTATATTCCTGTCTTCTTTACTCAACAGGAAGCCTCTTGCATGTAGGGAGTCACAGTTCTCTGCACACAATATGGGCTCAGTAAATGTCTACTGAATAAAACAAGTAAAAATCAACCTAATTTAAACAAAGCAACTTTCTTAGCTCATGGACCCATGACGTACACGGTTTGAAAGGCACGTGTAGTTAGAGAGAGGCTGTGCTTATGGCCTTGAATGAAATGAATCTGAGAACATCCAGCTCTTTGCTCATCAGGATTTGTAAAATTTTAAATGCCAAGTTTTGTCTGGAAACGAGGTGATTAGGGTATCTCCAACCACGGTGAAGGACTTATAAAAAATTCAAATACACTTTTATCTCATCAAAAATTAATTATGTAGGGGCGCCTGGGTGGCTCAGTCGTTAAGCGTCTGCCTTCGGCTCAGATCATGATCCCAGGGTCCTGGGATCGAGCCCCGCATCGGGCTCCCTGCTCCGTGGGAAGCCTGCTTCTCCCTCTCCCACTCCCCCTGCTTCTGTCCCCTCTCTCACTATGTCTCTCTCTGTCAAATAAATAAATAAAATCTTAAAAAAAAAAAAATTAATTATGTAGTAATAATTGGCTGATGGAGTCAGGGAATAGGGGAAAAGGGAAACGGATCTGAGGAGGACAGTTTACAACCACATTGGCGTACAAGGTAAATCCTTACTGGGTTCTGCTAAGTCTGACCAGCTGGTGAGTATGGTTTTCTCTAGACGAGGGGTGAGGGTAATAGGAACAATACATTTCTTACATACAAGGAACTGTCTTTTTAGTTCTATTTTTTAAAAATTAGAAGGAAGTGTACATGAAGGGTATACTTTGGGTCAGGTCTGCTTTGTTCACTTTTCCATATTTTCCATTTCTAGTAAAATTCTATTCCCTTTATGAAGGGGGGGGAGATAAGCACTCAAGTTGCAAAGTTGAAAACAAAAAAGAAGAGCAAAACCAAAAATACCATAGTAGAATGTCTATGTCATGTACTCAAAAGTATTTTTCTCCCCCCCCTTCTTTATTATTTCTTTTAATCTGAAGGCAAATATCTTTGTTACAGGTGCTGTGGCCAGAGAAATGTCAACAAGATTTTCCAAATGTTCTTGTAGCCACCACATTCTAAGTTTCTGCTTTGTGTTTCATTTGGGCCCCAACCTTGAGAACTTCCTACTCACAGAAAGAAGACTGTTTCTGCTCTAAGGAAAGGGCCTTCTGGGTGACAGGGCAGTCTAGGTCCCCAGCTCCTCATGTGGCTGAGGCACCAGAGAATAAGGAAACCATACCCCATGCTCATTCCTGCCTCTGTACTCGAGCTCCCTCCCTGAGAGGTCCCCCACATCAATCTGTATCTTCCCTCTTACTGCCTCTCACTCTAACCATTCCCTCCTTTAGTTCTAGACTGTTTTATAAATGTCACTAACTCTTTCCCTGGGGGCATGTTGTAGAAACTTAGACATCCTGACATTATGGGTTGTGTCCTATAGGACCTCATATAGGGTTTCATATAGGGCACCCAAGCCACAACTGGGAATGGAGGTCCATTCTAGGAGCTAGGAATGTTCACACACAGAGAGCAGACATGTGGGTGGGTCACAAAATGGGGTCTCATTTGTTTAGCTGGAAGAGTCCCTAAGGCATCATTCAGCAGGTCCCACAACTGGCTGGCTGAGTGTCAGAATCCACTAGGAGGTGCGCATTAATAATGCAAAGTTCTAGGCCCCATTCCTAGAGATTCTGATTCAGGAGGTCAGAAGGGAGGGCAGGCATCTGCAATATAAATAAGCAACCTGTTCCATTCCTGCACCTTCCCCGCCCCACCACCCACAGAAGCTGGCTAATCCTGTGGGAACCACTTTTTGAGCTCTCCGGTCAAAACAAAGGAGAGGGATCTTTGATCCAGAGGGCTGACTATGCTCAGGCCATCAGTGGGAGACAAGACTAAAGCCCCAGTTGCCTGGGTCCTCGTGTGTGGGTTCTGTCACTTCTCATGGCCTCCAGGGATCTCCGGCACTCTCTCTCTTCCTATGTCAGAGTGGGAGGTCCTCTACAGCCTCCCCTAACACAACTGCCCACGCGAAAGAAAGGCTTCCGTGACAGAGGCCAGCCAGGACTAGAAGAGTTACTGTACTGAATATCATCCACTAAACAAGTCCTCTTGGTCCTTTCTGAAATACGGTGTGGCATTACATCAAAAACTTCATCATAGAGCACTCACGGGTGACCCCTCCCGTATGGACACAGAGCATTTGCTCTCAAGCCGGGAAGCCAATACCTGCTGCCCCTGAGGTCTCCCAGGACAGGCACAGGTGCTTGTCGGCTCCAGCTGGGACCTGAGGGCAGTGTCTGGGGTAAGTCTATCCCCATGAAAGCTTTCCCTGGGAAAAACCTGGACTCTCACTGGCTTCTCAGGCCCTACCATACTGGTATGGTCACAATGCTGTTTGGGTCCCCAGAATGCAAATTAAGTTTAATTCCACAAATGAATTCAGAGCACTTCTTTCTCTCTTATTTTTACTTGCACATGTGTGTGTGTGTGTGTGTGCGCGTGCACACGTGTATGTGTGTATTTGGGATTATGCCCTGTGTTCAAAAGGCTCCTCTCACCTTCACTAGCTTTTATTTCTGGTGTTTTCTAAGTTCTGAGGTTTATTTAGGTATTCTCTAAGGCTCCTTTCATCACAGAACCTGGGCAGTCTACTTAAGATGTAACCTGCGACTACCTCTGCCCACAGCCACATGAGTATCTGTTATTTTAAAAGCACATACAACTAACAAGGCTTTTGGGAAGGGTCAAGACCCCAGACGCAAGATTATTTCCAGGCATGGAAATCACCCTTCGTGTGCTGCGTTAGCTTCTTCTAACAACGGGCCCGTGTGTTGACACGGCCGGTGGAGTCTTTCAATTTGGGACGCTGCTTTCTTTTATTTCAAAAGTGCTATTGTGTCCCAACATGTAATGAGCTCCTCAGAAAAGAGACTGCTCTATTAGCAAAAGCTACCAGTTAGCTTCCTGCAGATCTGCCGTTAACCACCAGGCACTTCGCAGTTGTGCCTGCCCTGTCCCCTGACCCAAACTGAAGGTACTAGCTACCTACACAGAAAACAAGGGCAGGCACACCACTGCCCCCCACCCAACACGGCACCACACGGAAATCAAGGGTATGGCCACCACAATACAGCAAAATATTACTTCAAGTCTGATTTGAAAGAAAACTTTTACGAGGCCTACATTTTCATGAAATCCAGATGTCTTAGCCAATACAACTAAAAAAAAAACAACAACACACACACACCAAAAACCCAAATAAAAATAGCAATGATGTTTGCTTTAAAAAAAAAAAGTATTCTAGTTAATACTAATAAGAAAAAAATAATTGTAGGAAAATAACATGATAGCCTAAAAAGTGATCCTCTGGAATATGTTTTCAAAGCTCTGACTGAACCACAGTGGAACATGGGAGGATCAAAGGTCAGGCATTTTTATTTCACGCAAACTGTAGTTACACAGAGGTTTCACCCAACTTGCTGTGTAAGACCAAATGACTACAGCCAAGTTAAACTTCTGCCCTTATATGGTAAGGAAAGGGGGAAAAAAAACCACTGATGACATTAAGGGGCACTCCCATGGATAACAGATAAACACAACCTCCTCTATCTGTGCCAAGGCCTATAATTTATGAGGCATATTTGTATAATGAGGGAGAACGGACATGAACAGGGCATTGTAGTGCCCTTGCCTTGCCTACATATGAAAACAGAAATCATGAGTATATATTCCAGTTACTGCCAGGAACCGGGGGTGCGAATGTGAGCACAAAGCACACTCTCGAGCCTCCTGGTTTCAGAGATATTTACCAACTCAAAAGTGGTAATAATAAATAATAATAATAAAATTACCAGTTAAGAACCTATAGGCTGTAACTTTACGTCTCCTTGTTTGGGGGATACGA